AGCAGGAAGGACACTTCTGGTTGGGTAACAGGAGGTGGGGAAAGAGGGGGAAGAAAGAAAGAACGTTACTTCTTAAACTACCCCAGGCCCATGAGTCCCTCAGGGAACATCACTCCATCCCTTTAAAGGAGGGTTTCTTTCTACACACACACATTCCCACCTAGCTCTTAGCCCCCACTTCCTGTATAGCTCCCAGTCCTTGAACTGGGCTCCAGCATCCCCTAGAGCAGACAGGACGCTACAGGCCTAAGCCCCAAGACCTTGGACGGGGTGAACAAAATGGGGTCTCCCTGGCTGGAGACCCTAGGCTCAGTAGAGAAATACACACACACATACACACGACATACACATACACACCCTAATATTAAATAAAATTGTCTTTGCTTATAACTTAAAAATCAGTACAAAGCTAATCCCCACAGAGGGCTCTGGGTAGAGGAAGGGCAAGCAGGGGAAAGGGAGGTCTGAGGGAATCTTAAGGCCTCCACTTGAGCCTAGGAACGCCCCCAGCTCCAAAGTCCTGTGGCCTGCCAGACCCTTCCCCATGTCAGCTTTTTTTCCCCCTCTGCCTGGCTCAGCCTCTGCTGGGCTTCTCTTCCCCCCGCCCCCGGCCATGTTCATAATCAACATGTATTTCTAACATCTAAAGGACAAGGGAATGGGGCTAGCTTCCTGGGTATGACCTCAGCAGGCCGAACCTCTCTCAGTGAGAGAACAACTCCTTCAGACAGAAGGGGCCTTTACTCTGCAGATGAGCTGGAGACAAAGGGGTCTTCCCATGCTCCCCTACAGCAGGGGTCAGGTTTGCAGATGCAAGGGGAAAGGACCCTCCCCTAAGGAAGGAGTCAGGCTTAGCTTCTTGGTGAGCAGATGGCCAAGCAGGAGCAGAGTCCTCCTCTCTGAGTGAGTGCTGTGGCCCTCTGCTGGACCCCCTAATCTATCCCAACCAACCTGTGCCCTCTTCTTTCCATCCCCAGGGAGAAGGCAAAGCACCAGCTCTAGAGCTGAGGCTGCTGCTGCCTGAAGAAACTACCTCAGGGAGTAGACGGGGATGTGGAACTACTAAGCTTTACTCTTTATAAAGACCAAGTGTTACGGACTGAATCAAAGTTGGGAAGGGAAGAGGTCAGTTCCTTCTACTCCTCCAGTGAATCTCTTCCTGCCTCATCCAACATTGCCTCCACCCCACAGCTCTGGCTGGGAAGCGCGCTCGCTCGAGGACTCCAGCCCTCTTCCCCCTTCCTTCATGGCTCCATCAGACTGGGTCTGGAAGGGTTAACAAGGAGGCGTATCAAAAGAGTTATTTTTACAGCAACAACCTTCCAAACCTGACGGACACCCCCCAAGGGGGGGGTCGGACCCCCAGCTTCCCCCACCCCATCTCGGCTCTCCCTCCGGAAACCCTAGGGGCAGAAGCACTATAAGGGGATGAAAGGGACCCGTCCGCAGGGCGGCTCCGGAGGCGCTTTTATGTCCCGGTTCCCAGGCACTAAGGACGTGCCCAGACAGCTACTCCCAGCGCCCAGGGCCGGCCCCACTCCTCGCGGCTCCGGGGAAGCGCAGTCTCCTCCAGCCTGTCCCCTCAACTCTCAGCCGGGGTAGGAGTGTCCCACCGCAACCCTGGCCCAGGGACCGGTGAAATAAAGAGGAAGGGGAGAACCGAAGGGCATGCGCAGTTCTTCCCGACCCAAACAGTCAAACGCATACCGACCAGCCCTCGAGACTAAACCCCCCCTAGCGCCCGGTCCCCTTGTCCCCGCACCACTTTTCCTCCGCCTCAATAAATAACCACCTTCCCTTCTTACTCAAGACTCCCCCAAGGACCTGAGACCTGGGGCCTGTCTTCGATGCCTCCAAGAGACCGGTAGGGAGGCGGTACGCGAGGAGCTCAGTTGGAGGAAGGCGTGCTGCCCTCCGCCTCGCGTTTGCCTTTGCCCCCAGGGGGTTCCGCCGCACCGCCGGCCTTGCCCTCGCTCGGGGCCGCCCCGGCTGCCTCCTCCTTGGCGCCCTCGTGGGTTTTCATGTGCTTGGCCAGGTGGTCGCTGCGCATGAAGACTCGGCTGCAGACCGCACAGGGGAACTTCTTGGTGCCGGTGTGGGTCTGGAGGTGGCGCTGCAGCTCGTCGGAGCGCGTGAAGCGCTTACCGCAGAAGAGCCAGTTGCACACGAAGGGACGGTCGCCACTGTGCCAGCGCAGGTGCGCCTTCAGGTGCGACGTCTTGGCGTAGGCCTTCCCGCAGCCCGGGATGTGGCAATTGTGCAAATGCTTCTTTTTGCCCCCATCGGGCCCGCATGGAGCCCCCAGTCGCTCCGCCTCCAGACAGTTGGGACAGCGACACACGGTCTGGCCTGAGCTGCGGGGCACAGACCTCCGGGAGCCTTTGGGCCGGGCTGCCGCGTCCAGACTGGAATCCAGCCCTTGCGACTCCGGGGCCGCTGCTTCCAAGGCCTTAACCCCGTCGGGCGGCCCCAGGAGGTGCTGCCCTCCGGCGGCTGGGAGGAGGTGGTGCGCATGCGGGTGGGGCTGCGGGGCACAAAGTTGGTGGTCTCCGACATAACCCCCCAAGCTAGCCTGAAGCGCTCCCGGGTGACCAGGAGAGGTCAGCGCGCCCTGAGTGTGGGGAAGGTCCATCCAGCTGGTGCCCGGATGAAGGTCCCACCACGAGCCATCTTCAGTGCCTGGGTGAGTCGGCCGGAACCACGATTCATAATGATGTGACATGTCCGGCTGCAGGAGCTTGGAAAAGGGTCCCGGTGCCAAGGGACTGTCGCTTTCCAAGTCCTCGCAGGTTACCCGCGAGGAGGCCCCCGGCAGCTCATAGCCCTGTGAAAAGTCCACCTCTGGGCCCAATGGGAGGCTCTGCAGCTCTCCAGGCTGCAGCGGGGAGGGGTAGTCCCCGGCCTCCGGGCTCGTGTGGCCCTGGTATGTTTGGAGAGGTTGAAGGTCTAGGCGCGGCGGGGAGGCGTGGGGCGCGTCCGTGTGCTGGCTGCCCAAAGAGCCGCAGACAGCGGTTAGCATTGCCGGGATCCGGGGTGGGGTAGGGGCAGGGACGGTCAGGGGCACCTCAGATGGAACCTAAAGGAGGAAAAGAAAAGAGGTAAGGAAAGTAACCAGCTCACTTTCCATCCTAATCCAGGTCCCCTCCCTGCAAATGTTCTGCTCTGGCCTCTGGTGAAAAAGGGGGATGCACCCACCTTTGGGTGGGGACTAAAGTAAAGATCAGTTAAGAGAATTTGGGAGTGCTAGGAAGGGTTGAGGGTGTGAAGATCTCTACCAAAGGCAGAGGATGATGGAAGTCTACCTTCCTCTAGGTGATCCTTCTCCAGGACCCCCGCTCATCCCTGGAGTTGGGTTGGTCCCAGGCTGGTTGGCTGGATACACCTACAGGACAGTGGTAGAACCATCCCCAACTCAGTTCCCCAAGCCAGCACGAGGGGCAGTGACATTTTCCCCTGCAGATCTGCAACCAGCCCAAGTGGAGGATCTCAGCACCCCCCATTTAACTCAGGACACAGCGAGAGGCCAGTGTGGTCTGTGTCTGAAACTCAGAGCTCAAGGTGACCTGCCCTGCAGAAAGTCCAGGCAGGTTCCAAGTCTTTGGAGAAACAGCCTTCCTACCATGACAGAGGCATGCTCAGTGAGTTAGAGCAGTTCACCTCTCTACACTACTCCCTCCCTCCAGCTCCACGCCTGGCCTGGTTGCCTCAGCCCCCCCAAACCCACTCCTAGACCTGACTCACATCCCTTTCCCTCCCTGGGGTGTAGCTGCCATGCTAGCATCTACAGGAGTTCCCCCCTCACACCCTGCCAGAAAAAGCCAAGTCTCCTTCCCTCTGCTGACCTATACCAGTGCCAGCACCTCAAGCAGCACGGTCTTCCTCTGCAAGCTAGGGAAGACTCAGATATGAAACTGGGAGGGACCAGCTTCCCCAGAGAAAGGGGTCAACCAGAGAAGAACCCACAGAGCGCACTGGAAGAGACAATTGCCACCCCTTTGGGGATGCAGGCTCAGAGTCCAGAAAGAGGAGGGCCAAGAAGCCATCATCACAGAACTCAAGAGCAAGAATGAACCACAGAGGTCATGTAAGGGAGTGCAGCCCACACATGGATCATTTCCGACAAGTCCACGGGATGATTTCAACGCACGGGTTCTTCAGAAAGTTCATGGAAAATACATTATGAAAAAACTATGCATGGACTTGACGTTTTTGTGTACCAAAGTGAACTGGTACTTTAATTTTATTTCCCCCAAACGGTTTAAAGTCCCCTTGTACGCAGCCAAGTGCTGAGAACAACTGTTTCAGATCATCTCCCTTATTTTAAGAGGAAATTGAGGCTGAATTTGGAGCAGTGACTTGAACAAGAATATTGACTTACTCAGTTAACAAGTTATGCATACTCTGTAGTCCAAACCAGGTCTCTTAGTCTTTCCCTAAGTAGACCCTTACCCCTTTCTTGCCACATCTATGATTTGAAGGTCCTGCTCATCTCACAACCTCTCTCTCAGGCCTGGGGGAGCCCTGGTGCTCAAGTGTGTGTGCCTGGGCTTTCTCTGATGGTGGGAGGAGGTCAGTGGTCTAGACAGGACTCTTCCTTCCCACAGCAGAGCTCAGCCGACCCTACTACCTTTTCTGCCTCTGGGGCCAGAGAGGTGGCACTAGTAGTCTGGGAGAGGGAGGGAGAGGAGGACTGGGGCGCCTACTCAGGCTCTGGCTGCTTCACCACAAGAAAGGAACAGGGTGAAGCAGCAGGAACGGAGCCTCAGGCCCAGGCGGGGCAGCTCAGAAGGGGATGGGTGGTAGCAATGAGGTCTGGGACCCTAACAGCTTTTGGCGCCTGGGAACTGCCCCTGGGCCTGGGGGTGGGGAAGCTAGGTTGACCCAGGCTCCGGAGGGGCCTCTCTCGACTGAGAGCCCAGGCCTGGGATGCGAGGGCCAGCAAGCGAGGTTTCGGGAAAGGAGAGAGCCGGGCGCGCACTCCTGGCTTTCCGCTCCCCGAGCCCGGGAAGAGGAGTAGACACTCTTAAGCCGCGTTTGGCCCGCTGGCTCTCTCGATCACCGGCGCTCAGGTGGTCGAGACTTCCGGACTCTCAGCTCTCCGGTGGTCCCAATCATTCGTTTCTCCAGTGTCCAGCCTCCTCGGTCCCTCCTGTCTCTCCCGTCCACCCGGTTTTCCCTCGGTCGGGGCTCTAAGACCCTCAGATCCTTTAGGAGCGCTTCCCTCCCGGGACTACCAGAGGTGCGGCGCGTTCTTCGGAAAGGAAGGATCTCCGTTGCGCGCGCCCGCAGCCACCCCGACCCGGGCTCCTACCTCGAGGCTGCGCTCAGGCTCCCGGCACCGCGGGGTGGGGAGCTACAGACCGGTGCTCATGGGTCCTGCGCACCGACGGGCTCTCCAGCTGCGAGGGACGGGATCCGAGGGTGAGCGGGGGCCACGACCAGACCCGGCGACCC